CAAGGCCTTGCGCTGACCCACTGCGTAAGCGGCAGGTGCCAGCGGGTCGCCTTGGTCGAAGCCCCTGGCGCTCTCCACCGGCTCGAAGTTGCCGGCCGCGTCTCTCCAGAGGTGGGTCGCCGACCCCCTGTGCCACGTGTCGAGGACGCGGGCGACCTCTGGCACGTGTTCCGCCATTGCTTCTATGGCCGGCCCCCGCTCGAGCCTCTGGAAAGCGGCCCTCACGTCCACTTTTATGAACGCGTCGTTCGGCCTCTGCGTCGCGCGGGCCTGCAGTTGCTTCGAGACGAGGTCCGCCCCGCTGGGACATCCCACCTTGGCCAGCTGCCCGGGGCGGCGGGGTGGAGCGGCCAGCTGCGCCCCCCCAGAGGGCGTCCCACTGCCTACCCCAGAACCAAGCGAGGCGCTCTTCGAGGGCCTCTGCGCACGTTGCGCCTCCTGCCGGGCGCGCGAGCAGCGCGTCGAAGAGGAGGAGTGCCTTCCACTTCTGTTCTGTGTCGCCGCGCGCCTCCGCCTCCTCCAAGGCTCCGAGAGCCGCGGCGCGAGCCATGACGGACGCCCCGCGGAAGCGGTCAGGGACCTGGACGAACGTCGGCGTCCCCACCTTTACGACGGCGTCCCACGAGAGGTTCTCCCACCACCTGCGGTTCGGAAGTTCCTTGCGGCCCCATGCCAGGTGCAGCGGGGGAGGGCTGTCAGCGCTCGCTGCTGGCTGAGGCTGGCGGTCGCCTCCTGCTGCCGCCTGCCGTGCGAAAGCGGCCTGCGCGGCTTGAACGTGGTCGTCGTTGGCTGCTCCCCTCGGCCTCAGGGTCAGCGTGTCCCCTGGCAGTGCGTGAGGAGAAGAACACGTGACACACCGCCAACGACCACGATCCCTACTTCCCCACGTCGCGATCTTAACCTCGTTGGCCTCGAACGGGATGCCACATCCGACGCAAGACGCGGGGCGCGGGGTGGGCTTCTGAATGTCGACCGCCCACTGTTGTGTCCTGCGTCGTCTGTTAGGCCTCGCCTCCTGGTCGACGTTTCCTCTCCCCCTCGCGGCGCCCGCCACGCCAGCACTCCCAGCCGCGTCCTGCGCCACCATATCCTCGTCCTCGCCGGCGTCGTCTATATCCTCCTCCATTGCTTGGGGCCCTGCGGCAGCCAGCCCCCCTCGTGCCGCCGGCCGCTCTCCCCAGAGCTGTGTGCCTGGTGCTGGCGGGCCTTCCCCTGGGTACCCCAACGTGGCGTCGAAGTCCAAGCTGGACCACGCGGCTGCCCAAGTGGCTGGCGCGGCATGGGCGGCCAAGGCTGCCGGGGCACCGATCGCTCCAGCTGCAAGTCCCGCGATGGCGCCGGCTGCAGCCGCCGCTCCGACGCAGGCGCCGAGGCGGATGGCACCAGGGCCGTATATGCGGCTGAATCGCGGGATGCTTCCCAAGGCATCGTGGACGCCAGCGTATCCCTAGCGGGCCATGGCCAGCACATCGAACAGGAAATCCGCGACGACCGCCGTCACGACAGCGAGCAGCCACAACCCGTAGCCCGTGCCGCGCTTGAGGATTAGCATGACGGTGGAGGTGAAGGCTGGGCGGCTGTCCTGGTGCATCCCGTCCTCCGTGTCCTCCCAAAGCGTCGCGAGGAAAAGGAGGACGATTGCGAAGAAGGCCCTGCTGTCTCGGCGGGCGCGCCAGAAGAGGCGTAGGGCCTCCGTTGGTGCCTCCAAAGTGCCGCACCTCGCCGCGGCCGACGCGTGTCCTCGGCCCCCGTCCTTGGAAGAGACCTGAAGTAACGGCTGCCCCTCCCTGCCGTCGCACGCGGCCATAGAGCGGGACAAAAAGGCAAACTCAGGCTCGGTAATCCTCAACACGGATATGCGTTCGAGTCTGCTCTCAGGGGTGTCTCCCACAGGCTGGCATCGGATGACAAGCAAGCAAACGCAGAGAAACAAGACATCACATTGACTGAAACATGACCTCATACGAAAATTGTTGGTACAGGTGGGCAGGAGTTTCGGTATGCGGCTGCCGACGTCGACGGGGCGACACTCGACAGTCACGGGGAGCCTGCGAGCGGCCGGGCTGATCGATTCCTCTCGAGTCTCAGAGCCACGCTCAACATGGATTCGGGATGCACCCCCGCGGCATCCTCCGATCCACCTCCTGGCCTTTCCCTCTTCCCTGGCCGACTTCGGGAACCCCGCGTCCAACTGCGTGTGCGCCTCGCTTCAACTTGAGGTCGGGCGTGTCCTCCTACAGGCGGATTTTGGAAGAAACATGGGAACCAATCAAGCCACGGGCAAACATGACCCGCAAATAGCCGAAAGTCGTCCCCACACTATGTGTTTCCTGTTCTTGAACGTTCCTGCTGTAGAAAGACATGCCCGACTGATCTTCGCACTCCGCCGATCCCCCGCCCTCGGGCTCGCAGAGCCACTCGGCCTCCGCCGGCCGCCTCCGCCAGGGGCACTTCCACCGAGGGCGCGGCGCCCCTCCCGGAGAAAGCGCCCCCCCTCGCCCTGCCCCCACATCCCGCGCGGCGGGGGCGAGGAGAGGGGGAGGAGAAGGAGGCGGAGGCGGAGGCGGAGGAGGAGGAGGAGGAGGAGGAGGAGGAGGAGGAGGAGGAGGAGGAGGAGGCAGGAGAGGAGGACGGGAGTGGAGGAGGAGGAGGAGGAGGAGGAGGAGGAGGGAGGAGGAGGAGGAGAAGGAGGGGGAGGAGGAGGAGAGGAGGAGGAGGAGGAGGAGGAGGAGGGAGGCGGAGGAGGAGGAGGAGGAGGGGATGGGGCGAGGCGGAGGCGGAGGCGGAGGAGGAGGAGGAGGGGTAGGAGGAGGAGGAGGAGGAGGAGGGGGAGGAGGGGGAGCAGGAGGGGATGATGAGATGATGATGATGATGATGATGATTGATTGTGAGGGAGGAGGAGGAGGAGGGAGGAGGAGGGATGATGGATAATGGCAAATGGAGGAGC